TGCCGGAAGATGAGGTTCTTGGTGACATTTACTTCATCTTGGTCCATGTGCACTTTGGGAACTTCGTGGGGATTCAGCTCGTTCCGCTTGCGAGGAGGAAATGGTGGTAGCCTGAGATTTCCAGGGCTATCCGGTATTCCTGTAGCAGGCTTTGATGGTGCTTCAGGCCGGGGACCTTGGGCCTCGGTGAGGAACAATGTGATATTCTAAGCACCATTGTATAGGTATTCGGAACATCTAAAGGGGGTAGATCTGTCCGATGGGGAGACACACCTGCTCTATCTTATACTTTATCATATCTCGCAGCTGCTCCCATTCCGTGCTGGTCAATGATTAGTTTGGGCGTTATTGCACACGGGAAGACGAGAATCTGACTTTGGCTCTATGATGTCGGTGGAAGCAATCTGCTCCATAACGAGCTGATACTCTGTTTGTGCACCTATGAGTGAGACGACCACGATGTAAAGTAAAACTGTTCTCTACCTGAGCTCCATTGAAAGTCTTTGGAGAGGCCGTAAGGACTTTCAGTCGCGGATGTCATGTCAGACTACGGAAGCCACAAAATGCAACTTAGCAATTATGTAATGTTAGCCTCGACTCGGAATTGATGGAAAAGTAGAGTTCCGACGGAGCTATCATCAAACCGTTGGCCGCTGTTAGCGCGGTGCACTCACTACTCAAGTACTCACTACTCAATGACACTGGCCAGTTAGTTATTCTCGTACTCCACCAAAAACGACAACCTCAACGTTGAGGCATGTACAGCAGCAGTTCACAAGGTTGTGAGAAGTTCTTGGCGTTATTGTCAATCGAGTAAATAATAGCATAATAGCAATGCACCCAGTTGATGTCTTACACGGCTCTCATTCACAAACCACAAGGTCATTTATTTCCTTCCTATACGTTTTTTGACGACGAGAACCGGACTGAACAGAGGATTTCCCGATGTCGCCAGTGGTTAAGTTCTTCTCGAGAAATGTGGAGTCGCCTGGCAATGTCACGACGAAGAGAACCGACAACAAGAGGCGCATCAAGCTCCTCAAGTCTTATGCTCCAGACTGGTGCGTGAATGCATAGATCTAGAGTGGTTACCACATGCTCATCTGTTCTCCAGGATCATCACGATCTTTTTGGCGTGCGTGGCTTTCCACGTAGCCAGCAATAGTGCCTCACATTTCTTGCAGAATTTTATTTTTTGCTCTCAATAGTGTTCATGGATTCAGAAGAGAATTTTCTGTCAACGATGAAACGTAGGTCACTCCTACACTGCGGAGCTTCACATGTCGAATGTCGATTTCTCTCTCCAGGATTCGTTTCCCGTGAGCATCATGGTTGACTGCGAGCTCATATCAGTACTGACACCAGAAATACAGCTATGCTGTCAAAGAACGCGTGCCGGTGTGTTCAACCTTTGGTGTCTATCTTCGTGTTTTTTTGAGGAATTATCCACTGGCAGGATGTCGGCCTATACTTGATCGCTCTCGTGTCCCCTCTAGTCATCCAGCTCGTTGTTAATTTAATCACTGTACGCTCTTTCTGGGACTACCACAACAGTGCGCTCGGATGTTCGTCATTTCGACTTGTCTACCATCACGTTCACTGGATCTCAGACTTGCTTCAGTGATCCTCGGCCTGGTTATTACGGGCGCTGTTACCCAATTCACCAAGATCACTGTCGGTCGTCCTCGTCCAGGTGGGTTTGACTATTACGTAGTGCAAAAATGGCGATCATTAACAAGCCAGGACATAACGTTTAGATCTACTTTCTCGCTGCATACCAATCCCAGGATCGCAAGATCCAACGTATGGATTATCAACTGACGCCATCTGCACTCAGATTGATGAGGCGATCATGATTGATGGCTGGCGAAGCTTCCCCAGCGGCCACTCAAGCCGTAGGTTTCGACAATCAATTCTATTGAAATGTTGACTTTAATCAATGTAGTATCTTTTGCTGGCCTTGGATCTTTGTCTCTCTATCTTGCGGGGAAGATGCATCTCTTCGATACCAGAGGCCATGCAGTAAGTGTGACCGACGGCTTCCCAAATATCTTCTGCTCATCACCATAATTTACTGTATCAGCACAAAGCTTGGATTTCCGTGACTCCCTTGTTCGCAGCGACTCTTGTGGCTGTTTCGCGCACTATGGACTATAGGCGTATGTTTTATGCAATCCATCGATGATGCACGGCTCACGCCAACTCATTCCAGATCACTGGCAAGATGTCGTCGCCGGTGCCATTCTAGGCTTTGTAATCGCGTACTTTGCCTATCGTCAGTATTTCCCCTCGCTTGGCTCCCCAATGTCGCACCGCCCTTATTCCCCACGTGTTCCGCGCGACGCGCCTGTTCTACCTACAACCGCTCAGGACGGCGAGCAATTCCGTGACAGTGCCGAGGGCGAGCAGGTTGAGCTTATGGGCGGCGGCGTGCGTCGGCCCGACCCGGGTCCCCTTGAGAACATCTGGAGCGAAGGAGAGAATGAAAGGAGCAACACGGAAAGCCCTTGATGCACGAATATGCCCTCGTGCCAGCAACGACGGACTACTGATGTGCCTAGTCTGCTTGTTTTGGACACGTTCCCCATATTTGTTGCACATGCTTTGAATTCTTCGAAACAGGAGCCTGAGTTTTTGAGTCCGAGTCAAAAGTACAAATAGGGCGCCGTGCCATGGTCGGAATGAAGGACATGAAGTAAATCGCGTCAATCCGTTAATAAACTTATGAAGTGTTGTGAGAGTCCGAGTCTCCGAGATATGGGTCTTGTATTTCATAACTTTTTATGATTGGAGGTGACTCGGCAAACACTTGAAGCAGACTAATCCGTCGCTTGCATCGTGAGGTCGTTTCCGTGCATCCACTTTGACTAATACTACGTCGTACTAGATTAATACGCCTTTACCACCTAACTCTTCGTCCACATGTCCGATCGGGCGATTAACTTTGGCGCGGGGCCATCTGCTCTGCCAGAGGAAGTGCTCATAGAGGCGGGCAAAGGCCTCCTCAATTTCCAAAACACAGGCATCGGTATCGCAGAGATATCGCATCGTTCCCCAGACTTTGACAAATTCATCCGGGAGGTCGAAGAAAACATGAGGACCCTTCTACAGATCCCTCAGGGCTATAAAGTCCTCTTTACTCAGGGGGGAGGTACTGCTCAGTTTTCTGCGGTCGTGGTGAATATGGTTGCAAAGTATCGAGGTCGCGAGGGCACGACACCTGACAAGCCAGTGATGGATTATATTGTGACGGGGTCTTGGAGTGAAAAGGCGATGAAAGAGGCAAAAAGACTTGGGGCAGGGATCGTTAACGTCGTCGCCAATGCGCAGATCACATGCGAGGACGGGAAGAAGACTTTCAATCACATTCCCCACCGCGACAGCTACAAAGAGAAGTTCTCTCAGGACCCAGCACTCATCTATTACTGTGCCAACGAGACCGTTGATGGCGTTGAATTTGATGATGACCTGAATAGCTCTACTTCGTTCCCTTTCGACGCCCTCCCAAACAAAGCCCCTCTCGTCGCAGATTATTCATCCTCGTTCATGTCGCGTCCCATCCCCTGTATCGAAAAACATGCGGTCATTTATGCTGGCGCACAGAAAAACATCGGACCGGCCGGCTTGACCATCATTATTGTCAGAGATGAATGGGCTAACGTGGTGGACAACAGCATCCCCCTGTGCTTGTCATACAAGAGACTGGTTGACAGCCGCAGTTTGTATAACACCCCGCCGGTCCTGTCGATATATATCACAGGCCTCGTCCTCAAGCAAATGTTAAAGGTTGGGGAGCAGAATGGAAGGAGCAAGGAGAAAGCACTGGAGCACTACGCTGAGTATACCAACAAGAAAGCCTCGAAATTGTATGCGGCCTTAAAGGAAGGAGAAGCCCGAGGGGTCTTCAAGGGCAAGGTTCTAGAGGGTTCAGGCAGCAAGATGAATGTTGTATTCGACGTAGTGGGCGGAGAAGAAAAGCTGAAGGAATTTGTATCTGGTGCCGACCAGAAGGGAATGAAGGGGATCAAGGGTCATCGGTGAGTAATGTCCCTTCGAACGTGTGTTCTGCTCAGCGGTGTCGTATCCTAGATCGGTTGGAGGTATGTTGCTCGCCATCGGCCTGAATCATGAGTGTACTAACAAAGAAGCAGGTGTCCGCATTTCCCTCTACAACGCAGTCACAGAAGATCAAGTGGATAAAATGATTCAGTACATGAAGGAATTTGTGTAGGAAATTTATTTTATAGTGGAGAAGGGACAACCGTCTTCCGTCTACTCTTGAGTCTGTCTGGAGACTAGGTTTATTTTATTTAAAAGATCGTTTCAATGACATTATATCTGATTCAACTCAGGAGGCAGAGGGTACTCGTCATGCGTTAACAGAGACTGTGTCAACGTGATATACAAGTCACTTTGCCGGAGTGGTTAACGGGATCGCCTGCTAACAGCCAAGCGGTTGGGCTTTGCCCGCGAGTGTTCGAATCGCTCAGGTGACGCTTTTTTGCACTTGTTTTTATTTTTTTTATTTTTAAATTTCAATCCAGCTCAGACATTCCCATTCTGCCACACTATCGAGGACTGTTATCACTATATAAGTTATACGTTGAAGTGCACATAGCAACACAATCAAGAAGAGAGCATAGGATCCCTGATGCATGATGTTTGCGTCTGATGGTATGGTCGTGCCATCAATTTCCGCCAGTCCAAGCCGATGGGATGAGAATGTTCATTCTTCATTCATCAATTATACATGCCCCATGGCTGAGTTGGTCACAGCGTCCGACTGTTATTTCTTAAACATCGGAAGGTCGTGAGTTCGAGCCTCACTGGGGCAGTCTTCTTTTGCCAGAAGGACGAAATTTTGGTGGGATGTTATGATCTCCAATTTTTTGGGTACGGCCAGACCACCAGCGCAGCCGCATATCACAGCGGATTTCAGAGACATTTAACCCCCACAACTGTAATCGGGTAATATAGTCGACAAAGGGTGCCAAAAAGTACTGCCCCAGTGAGGCTCGAACTCACGACCTTCCGATGTTTAAGAAATAACAGTCGGACGCTGTGACCAACTCAGCCATGGGGCACACATTACTTTTCAGAGAAGATGCCTACAAATCTCAGGAATTCTGGTCTAGATTATTTTCAAGTCGGCCAGCTCCTGAGGTCAAAGTGATGCCAAAGAAGAGTAAAAGCCCTGTGGTGACACCACTCAAGTCAAGTGCAACCTCTCGAAACGTATCTTTTCCAGATATATCACCCAAGGACTTTCTCGACTGCCGCGTGCTCCTTGAAGACCAGATCATACTGATTGACGTTCGTCCTCATGCACTAGTGGCTCATCCCTGAATAGCTGTCACTCAAGCCAGGCTGGGCAGGATTTTCTATCTCCTGAGGAGTGCAAGCGTTTTGTCAAGTTCATCGATGGGCTGCCCCTTGAACTTACGCCTCCGAAGAAGAAGGGGGAGGCCGAGAGAGTAAACTGTGAGCGTAACCTATACTCTGCGATGATGGGAGCTCATTGTATTGGGTGACTCTATGATTATTTAGATAGGTTCTCGGTAACTTCTGTATCATTTGCTGGGAAGCTGCACTCCCTGTTGTTACCTCACCTCCCATCACTTCCTCATCCACCCTCGGTCAGACGACCAGTCTACAGTGTTCAGCCGCGGTTGCCTCACTTGTGCAACTCAAACATTCGCATGTACAAGTATACCCCGTCCCAACACTTTGGTCCTCACTATGATGAATCCGTAAAGGATCCTGCAACAGGTGCAAAGTCGGAGTGGACGCTCTTGATTTATTTGAGTGGTGTCGAGGATGGTATCGAAGGAGGGGAGGTACGTGTCACATGCATGCATGCATAATAGCCGCCTTATCCGGCCCCTGTTAGACACTCTTCCACAAGGACGAGAGGGGGAGGCCTTGCGAAACCATTGTAGCTCCGCTTGCTCGCGGTACTGCACTGCTCCATCGGTTCGTCCTCCACATTGCTCATATGTTATTCAACTCTCTCATCAAGCGCAGGCACGGCAATGAATGCTTGTTGCATGAAGGCTCTCTTGTTCGCAAAGGGACTAAATACATTCTGCGCTCAGACCTCATGTTCATGAATTGAATTAGACCCCGTCTTCCGTATGGCACATGAATTCATGTTTTATTCAAAAATCTACGTAGCTATCGACGGCCCTTATATCTTTTATTCCTAGGCATTCCAGCCTCGACAACGTCATCATCCCGGTCCTGATCATCTCTCCCTCCCTCCTCTCGTCTCCGCTTTTTACCCCCACCAGATTTAGCCTCCTCTTTCAGCTCATTCACAGCCAATCGACCAGCCTCATCTACACGCTCCTTGAGAAGCATGACTTCTTCCTTACTGGTAGGAAACAATTCTAGCTTCTTGTCAATAACCTTTTCTATTCGTTGCAGCAATTCGACGTCGTATTGAGTAATTATCGTTATCGATTTTCCGGCACGTCCTGCACGGGCTGTACGTCCCACACGATGGATGTAGTCTTTTGAATGGGTCGGGATATCAAAATTGACTACTACGTCCACTGAGGGTATGTCAAGGCCCCTGTTTCGAATGGTCAACCCTGGGAAGGAGTAGGGTTATATTTTACGCACCTACTAGCAACATCAGTCGCCACTAGAACCTTCCGACCACCGGTTTTGAATTTATTGAGTGCGCCTAATCGCTGACTTTGGCTAAGTTGGCCGTGAAGGGGAATGGCTGGGAATCCGAGGGCACGGAGTATAATGGACAACCTGCGGTTGTGCGTGAACTAAAGTTGGAATCCGTGTCACTTTATACACACCTCTGAGCATCATGCACCGTTCGTGTGAAAACCATGATAGAATTTGAAGCCAGTTCATTTGCAAGATATATTAAATGGACGTCTTTGTGTATCAATGGCACAAAGAGATAGTATTGAAGTAGAGTCGATACTGTTTGATATCTGTGGGTCGCAAATTAGGAGGACTCGCAGAAGAACAAGCGAATTGCTCACTTTGATGACACCTCGACCCTTACAGGATTTGATAAACTAGCTCTTTGGAGTTTCGCGATTTTCGTCGTCATCGTCGCGGAGAACAGGTAGGTATTTCGTTCCTTTGGTATCACTTTAAGGATTTGGTCGATGTCAGCACCGAAGTCCATGTCCAGCAGGCGGTCGGCCTCGTCCATTACCTGCTGAGATCAGCAAGGTGATTCACGCTGTTTCGAAAAGTGTAAGACGTACCAAAAACTTCAGATTCCTTAGACTAAATCCTTTCGTGCTCTGGAGATGGTCATTGAGACGGCCCGGAGTCGCGACGATGACATGCGGCCGCTTCGCAAGAGCGACTGCCTGGGGCATTTTATCCACTCCTCCAATAAGCACCAGACATCGCACGCCCATCCCTGCACCCAGAGACTCGAATTGTTGTGATATTTGGTATGCTAGTTCACGTGTAGGCGCGAGTATGCATGCGAAGAGTCCTTTTGGCTCCTCCCATAGTTTTTGTAGGATAGGCAGAGCGAATGCAGCAGTTTTACCTGACCCCGTCTCCGCGACACCGATAATATCGCGGCCCTCGAGGGCATGTGGAAGGACTTGTTGTTGGATTTCTGTGGGTGTCTTGAAGTTTATCTGGTCGAGTGCCTGGAGGAGAGGTTCGATCAGACCAAGGTCCCTGAATGTTTTTGGTGCTGAAGTGGACATGCTAGCTTCTTCCGGTCCCGGCATTTCGTGCGTCGAGAGCTCTACAGTGACAAGAGATATTTCTTTCTGATGTGGAGGTTGGTAGTGACAAAAGTATTTTTCCACGATTGCTTACATTGGGAGCAATTGGTGCTTCGTCCTTCATAATCATAATCCTATACTCCTGTCAAGGGCCTTCCGTCCGTCCCTATAAAGTTCCTTGTGAACGTGTCTGCATAGACGAGACTTGCTTTCAATGTCGAACCAACATGTTCTCATGACCTTTGCTTCTTCCCCTTCCTTCCAATCCCCCGATAGCTGCAAGCAAGTCATCGCTGCACTGCAGTCTCAATTACCCCTACGAAGCATCCATTGGAAGTCAGCTTCTCGACACAGCATACGCACGATCCAAGAGCTCGAGGTCACACTGGTTTCGCTTGAGTCTCTTCGCGACGAGCACACATCTCAGGTTCCCGTTACCCTTCTCGAGAAACCTCTCCTAAACTTATATGTGGTGGCATGCGAGGTATGTCAACATGTAGGTCAACTGGTACCCACCCGCTACATCACCGTACAGGACAATGAAACCTACAGGACGACTGTCAAGAAGCAGATCAAGGACTGGCAGACATCCGTCATGTCACGGAAGAACCAAGAATGGTTGATTGTCCACGTCGTACGGCCGGACACAAAAATAGTGGACCGCAAATTCTTCAACATGAAGGGCTCCATGTTGGACAAGATCAGGGCAGATTTCAACGTCGAGAAGCGAGATAGGTACTGACATGCGTTACTCTGAATCCTGGATGATTGTCGACGTTGCCTCATAGGTGCGTGCAGCTAGCCTGGACCGCTGGAGAGCAGAGTCCCGCCGTTTGGGCCGACCTCATAAATAAGATCAAGGACGGACTGCTTTCTGCCCTCAATACCGCTGTATCATCAAGAGAGGAGGAAGTCAAGCGATCCGAAGGCCAACGACACATGCCGGGATGGAATTTTTGCACGTATTTTATATTGAAGGTAGGCGGTGCAAATATTTATTTTTTTGCGTCACACCACTTCAAGAAATATTGTTCCATGTAGGAAAGTTTGGCAAGCTCATATGAAGGAGTTAATCTCTTTGAGGATGCGTTACAACAGTACAACGAGCTTGAGGCCGCTTTCATGCAGGTTCTGCGGGAGAAAAACATATCTTGGTTTGGGAGTCTTATCCACCCCGCGCCCAAGGACGATTCGCTGCCACTCTTATCCGTCTCCAAGAAGCCTTACCGCGATCTTATCCTTGGCAGTACAATATCTGTCTTCGACTTCCGGATATATCTACTAGCAAGACAAGCCACACTGTTAAGCAAGATGCACCAGCTGGTGGAGATCTGTCGCAAGGCAATCATGTTTTTGAGCACGTTCGCAAGACGATTGAGGGAAGTTGAGGTTAGATCGCGTATCGATGTATCTTGTATCATAACGCTCATACGATTTTGTAGTCTTCGCTCCCAGAATATTTTATCGAGTCTTGGACATTCTCTTCCGCCCTCAGTGTCGTTGACCAGTGCGACACATGGGCCGCGTCGTGGCTGGAGATGGAAGGTATACCCCTCGCACGCTACAGCGCAAGTAAGGGAGAATTGATTGAACTTGCCAAAAGCCAGGTCTGTGTTCTTGCTGGCGAGAGGATATTATGATGCTGATTCGACATATAGCTCGACATCCTTGGTGTCATAGTCGGGCACTTACCCTCGAAACTACCGTTCTCGTTGGCGATACCAGCTCCAGTGACCATATCGCATTCGCCATTCATATCCGACAAGAGGTCTTCAACCCACCGTATAAGCAAGTACGAGATTATGCTTGCCATAGGGGAGAGTGAAGCCTTCTACGACTTATACACAACTATTTGCAATCGTGCCATTGACATGTACGTGAAAGCGGGGCGACGAAAGTTCGCTCTCAAGCTACATGGCAGCCTCGCCGCCCTGGATATGTAGGCCCGTGATTATGTTTTTTGTCACTTGTGGTGCTGAGCGCACAATGTGCAGCCACCGCGGAAGACTTTCAAACGCACTCACTATATTCTCGTCCCTGCCAGCACACTACGCTCCTCATATGTGGACCTCCCTCGAGTCGTTTATGCTTTCGCGGGCGATAGATACACATGCTAACCTCGGGAGGCCACGTGATCGCGAATGGATACACATCCTGCTTGCGTTTCTCAAGACATACGTCAACGAGATAAGCACAGAGTTGATCATGTCGGAGGAGGACAAGGCATATGTGTCAAGGCTTGTCGTTGCTCTTCGGGAGGCGGTTGGGAAACTTGATTCAGGTCTTTTTTTTTGCTATCGTTTCGTGGATGCGGTTGCGTTGATCTGGGGATTTTGCAGACCTGAACCACCCTGACCATCCTG